CTAACCGAACCAGACCATGGGTGACAGTTTTTTTTTTTTTTTTTTTGAAACACGGGTGACAGTTATTAGGCGTCCGGTATATTGCAAAGACTTTAACAACAGAATGCAGAGCATGGGACAAACCTAAAATCAAAATAGAAATCCATCAAATGTCAAACAGTTTGATGCTAAAGATCGATATAATAATCTCATATTAGATATATCATCCACACAACACAAGTTAAGGAAGAGGCCTACCATTTGAAACCGTTGAATCACCCAACTCTGGGATTGTAGACAGCAGACGTCTACTTGGTGCATATGTGACCGAGGGAAACTGATTTCTGAAAAGTGAAGTAAGGAAGAAACGTCTCCGTCCAGACTTCATCATAGTAGACATGTGTTCCTGTAATAAGAACAAGAAAACAAACTATTAAAGCCATTGAAATTCAAAGACTCATTAACCCTAAGATCAAAACGTATAAAATAAAGCAAATGTTGGATGATTACTCTTAAATAATTAAGTTGAGGTTTTTTGTTATTGATTAAAGAAAAAATATAATTAATGCACAATTGTGACCCAAGCAAAACCGTGAAAAAATCTTGGAGTTGTATCACAAACAAAGTATATCCAAGTGAAATAGTTCGGAGTGAGAACCAAATACAAAGCTAGAATGAATTTTTTTGGTCATGAATATTGAAATTGTTATTTTAATTTGGTTTGAAATTTGGTTTCTCCCTCCTAGTGTTTGGCATGAAAGTAGAAAATAATATTAGTGAATTACTTCATCAGAAGCATCCAAAAAGCACATTCTATTTACCCGCATATGGGAGCCATTCATACAAACATCACTTGTTGTAGAAAAGAGAACAACAAGTACAACCCAATAGAAGATATCTAAAGTGTGTATAAAGTTAATAATTAAAACCAAACTGAAACTACATAATAGATAAAGATTAGTCTTCATAGCAAACTGGCTTCTTCAAAGTCTTTCATTTCCCACACCACTCTTCAACGCCTTCGGAAGCAGATCTAGTCACTCTATGATGCAACAGTAGAGAAGCATTCGCTTCTTGGCAATGGCTCAAGTCGATGATAACAACTTTCTTGCCTTGAAGATCAAATCTAAGGTGACTCATCGTGCAGCTCTTGATCACTTGTGAAATGTCCTTAACTGTTTTTACTTCAACTCCAATTCCATAACCACCACAACCAATCGATGGGCAAATGAGGTGTATATCCAATGATAGTCTCATGTTCTAGTACCTTCAAAATATATATACAAGTTATATATTCAAAGTGAGATGTATCTGTTCAAACTGATTTCATATCCTTGCCTAGGATAAACTATAAATGAAAACAATTAAGAAAATCAGTCAATATATAAATATAAAACAATATGCATATCAAAAGCTTACTTTTGCCATCGTTTCCAACCAGAAAACCATCCACTGCCAAAATTACAAAATAATTAAAACAACAATTTCAATACTCATGACCAAAAATATCCATTCTAGCTTTGTATTTGGTTCTCACTCCGAACTATTTCACTTGGATTGACTTTGTTTGTGACACAACTCCAAGATTTTTCACGATTTTGCTTGAGACACAATTTGTGCATTAGTTACAATTTTTCTTTAATCAATAACAAAAAAGCTCAGCTTAGTTATTTAACAGTAATCATCCGGCACGTAGTTTAATGGCAAACAACATTTTATATTGCACAAGTTCGATCTTTCATATAAAGTAAAGCTAATAAGATCTAATAGCTTTACTTTATATGTTCTCCTAATTGGTAAGTTTTGTTATTGATGGGAAAAGGATTATTATCAATGTCCATGTTGTGTCACGAGCCAAAACTATCCAAGTGAAAAAATTTGGATAGAGAATCAAATACGACGCAAGAGTGAACTTTTTGGTCACCAATGTGACCTCGTTGTGTTGATTGTCGAGTCGGCAGATTTCTGGATGGATTTGAAGCCACTTAGACTTCAAACAAGAATCTATAATTTCTCTAGAGTTATACGTATGGTTGGCTATTCTTTAGGTATGCTTACTAAATTGATTGCATTTTCATGTGGTAGAACAATTTGCGTCACGAAGGAAATAATTTCAAAAATTGATATTGCTCCTTATTCTCACAGCCAGATCACCTTGTATGTTTTTCAAATAGATGCAGCTGTGAACAAAAGTAATAATGGTGGTCCATTGTTTGCGGAAGTGATTTCATTGGAGTCTGTTTTCAAGGTAATCCGAATCAACAGAATATTGGATGAGTTTTTAATCTGTTTGTAATTGTTTTGGTCTTTTTACTAAGACCTGCATTTTCTTTTGTATGTTTGCAGATATGCTATTCCATCTCAGATTGTGGCATTGTTCCTAAACTAAACAGTGTTGCTGAATTTAAAATGGTTGGCTTCTGCTCATTATGAATGATGTATCCGTCCTTGGATAATTGCAACTTTAGAAAGAGTCAAGGCGGCGTTCTAGTGAGTTTGATGAATTTTGGATGAATTTAAAAGTACAATGCCTAATCTACTATATATGTTTCAGAGCCTTAGAATCCATCCAAAATTCAATGGAGTCAACAACTGAAACACCATTTTTTTTGGTTCCCCACTCCACACTTTTTTATTTGGATAGACTTTGCTTGGGACAAATGTGAAATAATTATTATTTTTCTCCTAGCAATAATAACAAAACCTATGAATTAAGAGAAATAGTTAATGAAAAAAAACAGAACTAAAACAAAAAGATAAATAATCAAAACATGACTAGAAGTAATAAAAGATAGAACTAAAACATAGTATAATGTCAAACAATACATTTTGTATTGTGCATACAAGTATGATACTTTAAACAATATAAAGAGAATCTACTAAGAAACATATACAAGTGAAAGATTCATGATACCAGATCCGCTTTAATCGACCCTAAAAATCAAAACCTAGTAAGCTCGAGATAACGTTATCACATCCACTCAAATCAAATAGTATCATATGATTTCACATCTCTATAATATTATTTGAGAAGTCACTTTCTTATGTGTCGCGCTCACGTTAATTCTTACGTTGGTTGATTACTATGATACCCTTAATGAATTAAAAAAATACATTTAAATATTATTATTTCCTTTTAATTTTTTTTTCCAAATAACAATATAAAATAAAAAGGAAATATGTATAAAGTTTACAAAACTCTTTAAAAACGAAAAATATAAGTATATAAATATGGTTTCATAAAAATGGAAAGTTCACAAAATAGTAATATTTAATTTAAATATATTTTAAATAACATAAAATATAATTTTGAAGTAATAAAATACTTTATAACTATATCTTCTTAGATGAAAAACAATATTTGTATATAATGTGCTTCCATAAAAAAAGTTCACACAACTAATCTTTATATTAGAAAAAGAGATATTTTTTAAAAAAAAAATAATAGTTTTAAACAATAAATATATAGATTTTTAAAGTATTTGTTTTTGTGTAGATCTATTTTATTAGATGATTACATAAAATAATTAAGTAACATAAAATGATATATGTTTAATTGACAAAAAAAATTATAGTTAGTATTTTTGAAATATATATATTTTTATTTTAGTATATTTTTTATTATAATATCTTACAGTTACAGAAAAAAATATAAATTCTATTTACTTATATAATATAATTTCTCAAAAACAATACCATTTTTACTGCATATTTTAAAAGATATTAAAAACAAAACTAAAAATGAATTTTAATAATAAATATTTTTTGATCAAATAACTACAATTATCTTAAAATATCATAACATAATATAATTTATCGAAGTAGATACATTATATTTTAATAGTTAAAATTATATGTTTTCTTAATAACTCTTTTGATTTTTAATTTTCTGTTTTTATGTTTGTGGAACTTAATATAACCATAATCAAAATACTTAAACAAATCAGAATCCTTATTTTTAAAATTATTTAAATTAAATTTCAGTTTATCATCTAATCAGTCTAAATATTGTAAATATTGATATGTGTTCATTAGCTTGCAAAAATTTATTAGTTACTTAAGTATGTATTTTCTTTCAAAGCATAAAAAATCTTAAGTTATACATACTCTTACTAGATATACTTATATTTCTAAGATAACAACCGGCATAAATGCAAATAAGACAATTAATCAAAAATTTAATATATTTAGAATAAAAAAGATTATAGTTGAATTCAAAGAAATAGATAGAATCTAATATATCTCAATGATAACTAAATCAACCGTAAAAACAATAAAACTGACGAAATATAACATATCTAAAATTATAATAATTAAATTAATATACTATTATTAATATAAATTATATCTACAAATTATAAATTAATTTTAAATTTGAAGTAAATATCAACCAATTATTATAATATATTTATTTTAAATATTTATGTCCGTGCATGAGCACGGGAAAATCACCTAGTAGTAGTTATGTGAAAAGAAGGGAGATCTAAAATGGACAAGAAGATGAGAAGTGAACAATAGATATTTGTAGAGGCTTGAGGTTGCAGAGGCATGTAGACACCGCAAAACAACTTGGCACAAATCCAGATGCACCATGGACCACTCCATAGCTGTTGGATGATCTCAACGAGTTACGATGAGAATCTAAAAGAGAAAATACATGTATATTGATAGGATCTAAAGAGTAAATTTGCATGACTGAAAAAGACTGAGTGGTGATTATATATCTTTCCACTGATACAACACTTGCTCATTGGGCTTTTAAGGACTAATATATATGATCAAGAGAATCATGAAACTTTCTTAACATTCAGGATTGCAGAGAAACCCGCAAAGAGCCAACGTTGTTAAAAGCTGGTAGTAGTCTTTCGATCGATTGATTTTGCTGTGTTACTGTGTTTGAAAAGGGGGATTCATATTTCTGGATTCTTTTATGTCCATGTGAATGATTAGTTGGGATGTCTTGTCCAAACATATTTTACTAACCTCAGCCAGCTACTATCAAGAGTGAGACTTTATAATCAGAGAGAGATTAAACATTTAATAGAATGGATCTAAATCCAAAAAATAATTCAGATCTCAAACCAAATGACGTTTATACACAACTCTTCCTATGAAATAAACCTCTTCTCTCAATTCCACAGTGGAATTAAATGTTACATACACAACCCTTCTACACTCTACCCCCAAACTCTAATGTACCTACGTACATTGATACACACATGTGCATGAGATTACGTAGTAGTAGTATCTTTATATGTTGCCTCGGTGCAGATCAAACTTGATCTGAAGAGATGCAGATTCTTCTCCGGTCAGTGCTTGGCTTAGGTCGTTGCGATGGAGACGGGCTTGGAATAGCCTCCAGAGTGGATCGAGGGGACAGACGGGGCACTGTCCCGGTTAGATCAGGAGACCGGTACTGTTGCTGTTGTTGTTGCTGCCAACTTTCACTGGAGAAAAAGAAGCACGTTTGAAAAAGCTGGAGACAGAGCCAACACACACAAAAACAAACAACACAGAAAAAACAAACACAAAACACAGGTCGGTTTTAAAACGGGAAAAAACTAATACAAATGAAGCTGTGATGAGAATGATTACCTCTCTGAGGATGTCACGTTTCTAGCGCGCGGAACTTGATCTAGTTTGAAATTTGGTTTCTCCCTCCTAGTGTTTGGTTCCTGTCAATGCAAGTAGAGAAAGTTTTATAATTTAATACATAGGTCCATAACAGCGATTGAGGTTTTGCTTACCTTTATGTTCATCCCATTAAGTAAATGAGAGCAATTTGAGACATCGCTGTTACGTGGTGAGGTTGATTGCACAGAGTTCTTTAGGAACCGGTGTTCTAGCAACATAGATGCAGTTGGTCGCTCTGCCGGGTTTCTCTGGAAACACAATCTTAGAAAATCTTTGCCCTCTGGTGACATCGATTCAGGTATCGGTGGGCTATCTCTCATGACCTTGAACATAGCTGCAGCCTAGGCACAGTTGACAAAAAAAGAAGTTAGATAACAGGAGAAATCTATCTTCACTGTGAGGCTATTAAGGCATATGTGTATGCTTACCCCTTCAAACTCACTCCATGGAGGCTTTCCAGTGAACATCTCAATGATTGTACATCCTAAACTCCATATATCAACAGCAAAAGCGAGATCTGGGTTGCTATCTTTTTGCATCACAGCTTGCATGAGCTGTGTAAGTACAAGAGATTATATTAGTATAAGTATATATAACGGTTTCTAAGATCATTTAACAAAGACTACCTCTGGTGCCATCCAGTACGGGCTTCCCTTCAACGAAAGATCAGCTCTTTGCCCAGTAAGCTAAAGAACAAAAATAGCAACTTCTTTATTACCAAACTGAAACCAAACGAAGAGCCTTGACCACTTGTTTAGCAACAGTAAAACAGTAGACAGATATAGAACTTACATGTTTAGCCATGCCGAAGTCAGCAAGCTTGACAACTCCAGAGGCATCGACAAGGAGATTAGCACCTTTGATATCCCTGATGAACAATAAAAGAAATCAATATGCTTAAAGCTTCAACATCATGAAATATATTCACCAACATTGATTACAGTAACATTGCGACTTTACCTATGTACTGTCTTTTTGCTGTGCAAATAAGCCAGCCCGGACAAGATGTGACGAGTAAAATTGCGAACAACAGACTCTGTCATGGTACCGCCACCATGGTCTCGGATATATTTGTTAATTGAACCCGGGTGAACATACTCCAGGTATATAAAGAAACGATCATCTACCTGTACATACAAAATAAAAGCCAATTACTTCAATGAATCTTCAGCCACAGTGAACTGAATATGTAGATTATATGCATGTGAACAGAGGATACACTCACTATCTCACTACCAAAATACTGCACAATGTTTGGATGTTGAAGGTTACTGAGAAGTTTGATTTCCTGAAACAGAAACAAAGTTACGTATGAGATGGCGGTTTGAGAACAAACCAAACACAGACGATCATCCTATAGTCTCTCCTGGAGCTTACCTGCTCTAATTGCTTTATACACTCTGCAGATTTTGGGTCATCAGGAAACAACTCAACTTCCTTCATCGCACATAATGCTCCAGTTTCACTGCAAATTCAAAAACAACTCAGAGTGCACTAAAAGAAGACAACCCAACACCTTTGGTTAAGAGTGAGAAAGAACAGATAACCTGTTGCTTGCGACATAAACACTTCCAAAAGTACCACGACCTATAAGCTTCCCTTTCTTCCACTGAGAATTCATCGGGAACGAATCCTGTTTGAGAGTACCCTGCGGGTACCGAACAGGAGAAGAAGCACCTGATGGAGAAGGACAAGCAGCTCCAGGAGGGAGAGGCAAAGGATGAACATTGGAGCTACGTCCACTGGTAACAACATCAGTAGACATCCTCGGATGCAAAGGCGAGGAAACACTTTCCCGTGGCGGAGCAGCAGCCGATTGCTCAGGCGATAGCAGCATCGAGTGCAACGGTGAGGTCGGTCTGCTGCTCGGTGTCTGTCTACGTGGACTTCGAGGCTGCGGGCTATTAATTGGAGAGTTATCTGTGCTAAACGCAGTGAAGTCGTAAAACGCAGGAGGAGGAAGTCCAGAGGTGTCAAAGGGCATATCGGGAGCTGACCATGCTTGATTGCTCTTAGGAGGTAAATGGAAAAAAGGTAGTTCGTGGCCAGTACTCTTCCTTTGAGGGCTAGGGACGGGACTCATGTAGGGACTCGTTGGAGCACTCATTGTTGGTATGTTCACCCAATAACCGCCATTTCTGTTATTATTATTATTATTATTCGGACTATTTGTACAGCTAACGGCATTGGCACCACTGATTCACGTGAAAATGATTAATTTACAAGCTGAGGTTAGTTTGATTCAATTGAAAATTCAACAGATTAAATTCGAATCTCGGAATTTTAATTGAAAAATTCAAAAAAAATCTAAACCTGGTGAGAGGAGGACCAGAGGAGGTGCGATCAGCAACAAGTCTACCGGGATCTCGATCCAATCCTCCTCTACCGATCCGATTCCTTGAATCTCCTCCTCCTCCCTCGGGTAAGGGAAGAGGTAAGGGCAAGGGAACGGCGGAAGGGGAGCGAGGACCAGACGTGTAAGCGCTTGGAGATCGATTTAAGGCGACGTTGTCAACGGAGGTTGAAGAATCGGGGCGGCGTTGTACCAAAACATCGTCATCGGTCAAGTGACGGAGCTTCCTCTGACGCGTGAGCCTGCCACGGTTGAAACGAAAGAGACGACGGTGGAAACGATCACGATCCAGGTTGAGGGAAGAAGAAGATGAGGAAGAAGAGGGGGAGGATGAGGGAGAGGAGAAGGAGATTTGAGGAAGCCAACGCATAGCGAGAGATCATGGTATGCTCATCACAATATTAAGAAAAATAACATGAATGAATGAATCCCTTTGCTCTCTCTAACGATTTGAATCCACCAGAAAGATGGAGATTAGGCGATGCGAAAACAAACCCAACGGATTTAACAGAAAACAAAAACACCAGAAACAAAAAAAATTATAACGAAGATGAAATATTACCAATTATTGACGGTTTGTGTTTTTTTTATTTTCTTTAACACGGTTTAACAACGACTTTTTATTTGATCAGTGTAAACCAAATTGCGGTATACTTTATAAATATTGTTTCATTAGTTTCAGAAGACATATTGCATAGTGGAGTAGTATTTATATTTTATTTTATTTTATTTGTATTTCGTTCTATTTTACTACTTTTCTATCCCGATTTTTAAAAAAGTCAACGGTCAAAATAAACCAAAGAATACGTGGATGAGTCTTCTAGTCACGTGTCATTCTCAGCTCCCAGTTCTCACTGGTATGGAATGGACCAAGACCAAGTCGTTGTTTGGGCTTTTATTTTCACGACCAAATTCACATTGTTCGGACTCTTGCGAATAATCGGATACTACTAGTCAAGTAACATTCCAGAAAAAGACGCAAAAAACAAATCTGATCAGCAATTCGAATTGAATTTGCTTCGTTCAAGAACAAAAAATAAAGAGAAGCTAGAGAGGACTTGATGAAGGGTGCTTCTTTCCTTCTAGAGAGTTCAACCAATTGGGAATACCTCCTTCTCAAGGGACTTGACTTATTCTATGCTTGGACAGCTTCTGGTTCTTTGACCGGACTTGTGGAAACAATCTTACACACAGGCAAGGTTTCATTCTTGCTCAACAGCTTCAACGACGGATGGAATTCAACTTCTTGCATCAACACTTTGTCCGCTATGTCTAGTTTGCTCACATCTACTTCGATTTTCGATGGAATGTGTTCCGCTGGGCCTAGAAGCTTCAGAGTGCTTCGCATTGACCGTAGATTTCCCCCTGATCAAAAGCAACAGACACTCAGATTGAAATATCAACCTAGCCAAACAGTAACAATGATTACAAACGCCAAACATTCCTTTTTTTAATTGAATGTTATTCAAATCAAAGAGCCTTTGGTTAACATCAAATGCAGCTTGTTTTGAAAGTATAAAAGAGCAAAAACTTTCCTATACGCCTATATTATGTTCCTTGTGAAAAACCAAAACCTTAAGCCTTCTTCATAATTGTTATCTCCCATTCTCTGAATTGTGGTGAAATATTCGAAACGCCAAACATTCAATTGTACTTGCTAACATAAGAACCCTCGTGAAAGTAGTCTACTACTCCCAATGTGAACTAAATATGCTCCACAGGTAAAGCACACTACAAACGTGATGAATAACTCATTCTTTAATTTCTTTTCACATTGAGACACAGATTTAGCAAACGGAACAAAAGAAGGAATGAGAGCCTTATCAAGCAAAAGAAAGACAACAGTAATAATCTGCAAAGTTGTCATTAGTCCAAATAAAAGCATGCAAACCACAGTTGAAGCAAATCTTCATAAATGCTATCACAATCAAAAGAGAAGAAGCATCAAGACTACTAATGCACAACACTCTTCTACCAACAGACACTCAGATTGAAAATATCAGCCTAGCCAAACAGTAACAACTAGGTCAACGGTAAAAAAAAAAAATCATTTTGTCCTTGATTGCTAAAACGGATTTACATTAGAACATTCATGAAAGTAGTCTATAATAATCCACAGGTAAGAACACAACAAACATACTGAATATCTCAATTTCTTAACTCCTTTTAACATTGGAACACACACATAACTGTCAATACCACTCTTAACACAATTTAAGGAAACGGCACAAGAGAAAGAATAAGAGCAATGTCGAGTAAAAGAAAGCCAACACTAATCTGCAAAGTTTTCATCACTCCAAATAACAGCATAAAAATTCACAGTTGAATCAAATATTCCCATTGCTATATCAATCAAAAGAAGAAGCATCAAGACTAATACAAAATACTCTCTACTCACAACATCTGAAATGAGAAGAAAAAAAAAACAAGAAATGAGAAGAAAAATCATAGAGTTTTAATTACCTTTCTTAAGACCAGGACTATCATCTAATCCTTTGAAAACAAGAGGAACATCAACCTTCAACATCTCTCCATCATTAGCCCAAACGAACACTAAATTAAGTATCTTCCCACTCTCTTCATCTCTATGAATCTATAACACAAAATAACCAAATCCTTATCACTTCACAATATCCCTTAGCCCTGCGAGTTTTAACCGAACCGGACCGAACCGAAATTTTCGGTTTTCGGTTCGGTTTTGGTCTTGATTTCGGAATGGTTTAGAAAATTAATTCGGTTTTAGGTTCAGTGTTTGATTTTTTTTTGTTTTGAAAATTATGAAAAACCGAAAATATCCAAAAATACTCGAAATTCTGAACCGAATTACCCGAAATAACCGAACTTAAACGAAAAAACGGAATTTAACCGAAAATATCCAATTGTTTTAGAAAATTATACCAAATTCTACCCGAAAGAAGAAAAAAATCGGTTAACTCGGAAATTAAAGTTAAAACCGAAAATAATCGAAAACAGAACCGATTTTTTTTCCGGTTCACTTCGGTAAAATTGTGGCTGAACCGAATAAACGGAAACCGAAAATACCCGAACCGAATAAACCGAATTATCCGAACTCGCAGGGCTAAAATTATTCCTAATCAAAATTCCATGATATGATCACGATTGAAATTTTGGAATTACCTTGAGGGGAAGCACACGACCCGACTCAACAAGCGACGAGGAGCCTTGCCCAGCCCTGATCTGGAGCTTGAAAGTAGTCGAACAGAAGAACGGGAGACCCACAGAGTCAACAATCGACTTGATCTGCTTCCTATCAGCAGTCAAAAGCTGCTTCCTCGAACCGTCTCTCTTCGCAGCGTTGGTCTGTAGAAGCGATTGAGTGAAAACGACGGCGGGAATCCGGCCAATCGTCCGATCTCGAGCCGATACTCTTCGCCCCGTGGCTTCTCTCGGTATCGCCTGAATCGTCTCGTACTGATGTAAACACCGAATCGATCGAGAGAATGAAGAAGGCGGTAGATTAGCTGCCTCCGCCGCGGATCTCAGGCCACGCCACCATATCGCAGCCATTTCTGTTTGTTTAGAGTTTTGAGTGACGTTAGGGTTTGAGGCGATGGAGGAGGAGGGGTTTAAGCTTTGTGGGCTTGCTTTCTCTGGTATTAGCTATTGGGCTTTTGTTGGGCCGTTGTTTCAGTATATGAATCAGCATTTTATTATTGTGATGTTTGTTATGTATAGATACCATACTCAAACACACAAGTCACATTTATATGATTTATTAAAAGGGTAAATCTCCAAAATATCACATTTCTAAGTTTATATCATAAAAATAGTTCTCAAAAACAAAAATGATCAGAATAGCATTTTATCTTTTGAAATTTTTTTAAAAAAATATTTTTCAAAAATTGAAAATCTTATCCCCAAAAGCTCACTCCCCAACTCTAAACCCTAAAACCTAAATTCTAAACCCTAAAATCTAAACCTTAAACCCTAAACCCTAAATTTCACTTCTTAACTCTAAACCTTAAAGTCTAAATTAATTTATCATTGAGATATAGGTGTATATTTATCTCTTTTAATCAAAAATTAAATGCTATTTTAATATTTTTATTTTTAAATAATATATTTGTGACAAAAACTTTTTTAATTTTATTATAGTCATTTTCTCTTATTTAAATATATTATGAGCAATTTTTGGACGTGCTTTTGTATTTCTCTTAATAACAACATTCCTTTCGTTGTCTTATTCTGATTTTTTTCAAGGCGTATCAGTATGCAGTTGCGCACACGCTAAACCTATTTAGCTCAATTGCCATAACACAGACGTCAGATCATCTCAAATTATTTAATTCTAAGTTATTTTTCTCTTTACCAACCAATATTATTTTACTTTGACTCTGTTTTTTTTTTCTCGTTTTGCTCATGATAATTGTGTTTCATATCATATCATTTACCAAATTAAATATGGTTGTAGAAAACTAGTGTTTGTGCTTTAAAAAGCCTATATAATAGTATAAAATTCGATTTTGTATATATAAGTAGAATCATATTGTAAAATGAGAACAAACCAGCAAAAAGGTGGTGTAGGGTGGTTGAACCGCATGTTTTCATTTCATTATCATTTAAGAAATTAAAGCATGCGTTTAATATATAAAATGTGAGAGTTATGTATGATGCGGTTAAAGGACATGTTGGATTACTGTTGTTTTTTTTTTAATGAACCGCACTAGTTGGATTGCATGTTCAACTATGCAAAATCATGGAGTTCAAATGTGATCCATGAAAGAGCTCACAAGTTTAAGAAAAGATCGCATAAACGTATATGCAATTCATGTTTTAATGCTGTCTTATTCCATAAAATCTACTAGGAAAACCCGGAGCATAGAGAATGTAGGGAGTTGAGTTTTGTTGATTTACATATATGCAATTGTTTTATTTTATCATGATCTCATTACACTTTCTTAAACTTGTATTATAACCTCTTTTTTTTTTTGAGCAAATAAACTTGTATTATAACCTTATAGTTTTATTTTCTGTCTAATATAATCGTTATGCATCGCCTAGTCTAGTAGTATCACCATTCGTACCTTACACAGTTTTGTTGCCTTTTGAATCATGGCAAGTGGCAACGAGAGAGGAGACAATCAGAATATATACAAATAATATGATCTAATAACAATAATATCTGGCAATTGAGAGACGTTCCCATGCATGTGACAGTGTCTAATCAGATCAAATGACAAAGTCAACATGCTGACAATAACATAACAAACTGAATGAGCATTAACTCTGTATATATAAAGAACGATACAAACAAAAAGTAATTTAGCTTCGCCTCAATTTTCCAAATTAGCAACTTGATCAATCTATGAAAACTACAGCGTGATTACCCACCATAAGAAAAATGAATATACATGTTTATCCCTATAACTAAAATATAGTTTACTTTTTTTTAAAAGGACTAACATATATATAGTTTACGAATTATAAACTAATTACTAAGATTCATTTGGGGTGTGTTTAAAAAAAAAAGATTTATTTGGGGTTGTAGAACACTAAAGGTCATAATTTTGTAACAATACCGTAATTCTATACGTTTGAAACGGCAAAACCTCATACTATAAATTAGGTGCCATGAGCAATGAATTAAACTAAGATAAGTATGCACTCTATATTTTCTTTGTTTCCTCTTAGATGTATCCCATTCCTAAGTTTTATTCTGTGGGCTAAGGCTAACGTCATCCAGTGGCCCTCTATTTTGTTCGTATAATAAGCCATTAGGATTTGCACGACCGAACAAGCTTCGTAGAATATAGAAGAGAGGTCTACGTCTTGAAAGATCGGATCTCAACCACTAGATTTTTTTGTTTCAATTTTTTTTTTAATGGTGATGGGTTTTTAAGATGGAATGTTTTTATGATAAATTTTCTTAGATTTTACAATTAAAATATATGATCTTAATACACCAAATGATAATTAAAAAATATAAAATTGCATATGTAGTTTTTATCAAGTTAAAATACGTAGGAACACGTAGAAAAGTGTCGTTGTACACCAAATACTAACGCCAATTTCTTGTTTTTCATGTATATTTTCCGTATGCAACTTTTCTACGTTTCTACGTTAGCTTTTCGCCTAGGTTTCACAAAACTCAACGAAGCAAACGGGAGAAACAAAATACTAGTATTGTATTAGTATTATTTCTATGTGGGTATTTGTGCACCTTTGAAAATTTGGGTTAAAATCTTCAGCAATTACAGTTTTCGTTCAAGTGGTAGATTCCTATCTGTAATAACGAGCAAGTTTATCTGTTTGGATACAATATTTGATTTGATTTTATTATGGCTGGGTCTATTAAAGTTATATATTTTGAAGAATCTACTTGTTTTCAAGGAGATATTTAGTGAGAACGATATGCTTGTTTGAATGTATTTAGTTTTGAATAATGCGCAATAATATATGAATATATGAAAACAAACCTGCAGTAAAATTTGACCTAACTAACGTTGGTTGTGTTAGATTGTTTTTTTTTTTGGTTATGGCGCACGTGCGGTAACTAATAGTGGGGTTGTTATGTAACTACAGTAATACCCCCTGCCACGAGTCGGTTGATTTTATAATTTGCTATATATATATAGGAGCAACGAGAACATTACTCTCTTTTATTTTTAAGTTCAAGTTTTATATTTTCCTCTATTCTAGGTAGTATAATACTTCCAACGAAAATTTGTTGTCAATAAAACATCCAAATTGCCCAACAGTGAATGCTTAGATACATTTATTTTAGGTTAATTTTCTTAGTAAAAAGTGCATTCAATGAAATAAGCTGGACAAACAAAAAAATTGAAATAATCAGTGATGATACAGCCAACCATGTGCCACACTAGACTTGTGTTGAACATAACGAAGCACTTTAATTCCATCTCCAGTTGGCATGTGACCTTTGACTATTTACTTAAAAAGGTTTTAAGAGCAGCATAATTTATTAATATACTTATTGCTTATATTATAAAGTTAAATTATTCAATAATTGGATATTGGAGTGCATTGTATTTGTAAAGATAGTGAGAAAATAAAAGAAATGGTTGTATTCGTGGGGCTGACTTTTTCCGTAACTGTTTAAGATTTCGTATCAGTTTGAGATTAGAGGGGAAAAGGACTTATCTCGAGACCAAGACAGCAGTTCAAGGGTAATTTAGACAAAAACAAATGAAATAATACAGGGACAACACTGTCATTACGTACGCGGTTGCTTAGTATTAAAACCCCAGATAATAATTATGAGATCCGACGGCTGTAAACCTTCCTCTCTTGTAATCTTCACGGTTATAGTTTATGGCGTGTATCCGCTACTATAAATGATCGTCTCTGTCATTAGAAAAGCCTCCTTTCTTTTTCTTTTTCTCATTTCATATTCGTCTTCTTTCCTGATCCTTATACTTTTCTCTTCAGTTTATAAATCGTGGGCCTTAGGGCATAATAAGTCGGTGATCAGATCAATAATCTGGGGGTTTCTGAGAAACCCTAGAACCCGATCAGTGACTTATTACTCACTCTAACTATCTCCATCGATCATGGAATCATGGGATGAAGAGAGTGAGATAAAAAGCTAGCTTCAAAGATATTAGAGTGAAAAGGTGAAAGATTTGGATATTTTATTGAGGTAAGACTGATTTATCCTTTTTATGATCAGATGATTTGATTCAGTTAATAGTCTAATTGACATAGATTGATACTGATAGATTTTTTATTTTTTATTTTTTATCATTTTGTGATGATTTATAATATTTTGTTTTATTTTGGAATCTGTAGATTATTTTTATTTTTTGAATCTGTAGATTATTTTTATTTTTGAATCTGTTGATCTTCCTTCTTAAACTACCCATAAACTTTTTTTTTTATAAACAGATCTGTAATAGAAATAAACATTTGTAAGTCATACGGTCGCCATCATCTCACTCTGGTTCGTAACCATTTCTAGTTTTCTCATATTATCATAGAGATCTTAGTATAATATACCATAAGTTCTTTTATTTTTGAAATATTCAGATTTTATTGATGTTTCACTATTCTATTTCTTTGTACGGAATATTTTGTATGTGCACTACTCACGATATCATTTTTCTTCTTCTCAATGTTAATGACTGAGACACGAAGCTTCCTCGATGCATTTACTTTCACGATCCCTATTTTTTTATATTCAAAAAGAAACTGTTTTTTTTAACCAAATAAATTGAATATTTCTTATTCCAGGCTTTTCGAGAGAGAGACAAAAAAAATGGCGTCTTCAAGCTCTCCATGCGCAGCTTGCAAGTTCCTAAGGAGAAAATGCACACAAGAGTGTGTGTTCGCTCCCTATTTCCCGCCAGATAACCCTCAAAAATTCTCATATGTCCACAAAGTCTTCGGTGCAAGTAACGTCGCTAAGCTTCTCAACGAGCTAGCCGCTAACCAAAGAGAAGATGCCGTTAACTCTCTCTTTTACGAAGCCGAAGCTCGACTCCGAGACCCGGTTTATGGCTGCGTCGGTTTAATATCCATCCTTCAGCATCGTCACAAACAGCTTCAGCAAGATCTTGAAAACGCCAAGAAAGAACTCGCTGCTTACGTTGGTCCTCAAGCTATGCTTCCTATTCTCCAAACGCAGCATCATCCTCAACCGCATTTCATGTCTCTACCGCCGCAACCGCAGCTGCAGCGACCGTCTTCCTCTTCTTCTTCAGCATCTGTGCTGACCCAGCAGCAGCATCAGCAGCATAACTTGTTTCCAATGGTGGCTATTCCAACAGGACAACTTTACCATCAGCAGCAACATCAACAGATTTTTGAGGCTCAGCAATTAGCGGTTGCGAGAGAGCAGCAGAATGAATTGTTTAGAGCGTTTGGAGCAGGAGGAGGGAGTAACACTAGTCCACATCATCATCAGCAAAACCAACCTCAAGTTGAGGTTTTGAGGTTTGATAATAGTTTTGACTTTGTACCGACCGGTTCAGTTACAGTAACCGGATTTAATCAGTTAAGCTCCAGCGGTACAACGGTAACCGGAATGTCACCGTCTTTGGCTCTTGGTGGTAACTTTGTTGATAGTCCTCCCACGAATGATAGTTATCATACGGATCAGCAGTTACATCATCAACAAAAGCAACAACATCATGAGGCTCAGCTGTTCATACCTACACAATCTTCCCAACCGCTACCACTTCAAACGCAGGAGACGCAATCGCAGCCAAATTCTGAGAGCGAGGAGGGTAGGAGGAGTATCATTGGTTCATCTCGGTAGTTTCAAGAAAGAGAAAAAAAAATAAAAAATAAAAAAAAATGTTACGGCCTTTGACCTTCTCGCTTGCTCAATAACCTCAAATTTTCCTCAGGTACGTAGGAACAAAAAAAAAGTTGGATGTTTAATTTTCCCAATAAAAATATTAGGGTTTCGATTTTTTCTGCATTTTGAATATTCTTTTTGGTATAGTACAGTAACACAAGTACAGAGGAGGCTTTGCTTTATACTAACATTTAATGATAAAACTTTGTCAGCTCTTCTTGTTCGTCTAGCCATATTATAGCCTATATTATTAAACTTCCTTTTTGTTGGATTCTCTGAACAATAATGCATTAACTAACCTAGTTGTTAAATTCTTGGTGGGTCACATCACTTCACCGATTCCTGGTCTACACTAGTGTGATGATATTGTAGTAGTTTACGACATATATCAGCTTTCTTCTACCTAATAGGGATAATTTTGTGTACCTTAAGTCTAAGATTTGCTTACACCTTTCTGTCTGGAGATCTTTTAAGTGTTTTCTCATTAGATACTCTTTATTCATCAATATACTAGCTTCAATCACATCGAAAAACTTCTTTATATTTATTATTATTATCGTTTCTTGAAGGATCCATTGCTTTATATATACTAATTTCTTCGACTTTTATTGCAGTTGGAAACTCTGACTTTGCTCAAGGCATTACGGACACTATCGAGTTCTTTCTAATTTTGTCGCACGTCCAACAACGAAAAGACACTCAACATGTTAAAGTCAGCGGTATTTGGTTGATTTTGAGTTTTGGTGAAGAGTATAACCCAAAGGCCCGTATGAAATTGAACAAAAGATATCCACTCCATCTATCCCTCTGGTTTTTCATTACAGAAACATATATTATTTACATTTTTTTCTGTATTTCCTATTTTTATTTTTTTATATTTATGTTTTGTTTTAAGTGAAAATGAGAGTTATTAGTGTTTATGGATGCAATTATATTTGTAAATGAGATGCAAATAGCAGGGTCACCTCGCCTAGTTTGTTTATCACAATGTCAAACCCGACTATTTTAAAAAATACCATGGAACAAGCCATCCTTTGTTTTTTTTATATATAAGTTCTACTGAAATTCTGAAACTCTTTTTCGCTTGGTTAGATGGTTTAATAGCTTACTCTCCTTTTTTTCATTTTGCCAAACTGATGTCTTGGTTGTTTACCAGAAAAAAACTGATATCTTGGGAGTTATTTTCGATATTACATACAAATGAAGTGAAGAAAATTTATTAAACATTATGATAGCGACTACAAAATTATACATCAGATTTACTGAAAGAGTGTAAAATATACCTATTGTACTTATAAAGAAACGCATATAATAATCATCAAGTAGATGAAGCTAAAGAAGTAGTTAAGTGTGAATGCTTGGCAATTAAGATAGTGTTGGGTCATTTATTAACACTCTTTGACCACCCATCAATTTAATCTTGTCTCTCTTCCATAGCCGTTTCCTCTATATATTAATGAATCAACAGCGGATGGATTACACGTACAACACCGTCTAAATACATAATCAAACCAATAAGAAAGCATCAATTAAGTTTCATCCACTTAAGCATGAATGCATGATCATACAAATTACAAATGAGTAGATGTATGTATGCTGGTGAGCTGTAGATATTTGTACCTGATGGTTAATGAGAAACATGGATACTTAATGTGCATGTGCATATAATAGTATACAAATCACACCAGTAGGATGCTTGGTATAGCAATAAAGAGAAGGTGATGAAATTGATGAGCATCGGTCATTAAATTAAGCACTGACCCATTAATTGCGCACTTACCCATAAACCCATACACTCCTTTTTATTAACTCAAATACTGAATATATTTATATATACATCTCTCTCTAGCAGTAGTCACTAGTGTACCTTTGGTACTCTTCAAAATTACGTGGCTCGTGTCGCAAATGTAGATTTCTAACTAGGTCAATGCAAGAATTAATTTAATACGACCGTCCTTAGTGAATTATAATTTAAGATCGTCTAATATACAAATGGACCGACAAAATCAAGAAGTACATCCATAGTTAAAACCATGCTGATCAGTAGATACATTAAAAGGCCCAATAAAACATTTTATTAACAAGCAGAGAGGCCCATCAAACCTTTTTTTTCTTTTTTCATAAATAAATGAAGAAATCAACGAAGTTGCCACGTATCCTCACTGGAACGCGCGAATGATCTGCTCCTCCTTGCCTCACATGACACCGTCTTTAGAGCTCCGTTCTGTTTCATAAATCATAACGCCGTGAGCTAACGGCATAATGGTAGAGAATATTCTATCAGCACATGGCCGCTGCTTGTCCAACACATGACTTTCAAGCTTCTGTTTCCTTCTGACCTAAGTTTTTCTTATTTTACCCGAAACTAGTTTTTTTAGAATATCTCTGTCATCAAAAAGGAAAAAAATATCTAACTTTCTTTAATACTTTAAATGATCTGTGTCTATTATAATTACTAACATAATTCTTTTGTCTGATTGATACAGTTTTTTGTTTTTAAATTTTTAAAAGAGGAAAAAGGGAGAAAGAAATCTAAATGGATAAATGCAGAGAAATTAAAAAGAGAAAAGAGGTTGTTTTATAGCCGACAAGGACGAGTGAAGTCGCGCTCTTTTTTTTTCATTTTAACTATAAATTTTAATTTTAATTTTAATTTGGGGTGTTATAGTTTCTTGAGAAGCAACATCAATGATCAAAACGCGGCGGCTACTGTCGTATCAGCCAACAGAACGTTGTCGTTAAGGCATTATCCTTATCTCTTTGAGACGACCAATAATTGCCTTTATTCATTTTTATTTTATTTTCCTCTGTTTCAGCTTCGCTCTTTCTCTTCTTTCTCACAAGCTTTTCTTCCTTTTTTTGGAGATATTTTTTCAGTTTCTATTCGTGGGAAGTTTCTAATTTGAGTCGAGGGTTTAAGGCCTCTGATGTGATTGGAGGAAGACAGAGAGACAGAGATGGATAGAGCAGCGGTGAGCACAGGACCGATGGATATGCCGATTATGCACGACAGTGATCGTTACGACTTCGTTAAGGATATTGGGTCTGGTAACTTCGGAGTTGCTCGTCTCATGAGAGATAAAGTCACAAAGGAGCTCGTTGCTGTTAAGTACATCGAGCGAGGAGACAAGGTTTTTCTTTTTCTTTTTTGTAATAATAAGCTCAAATTTTTATTTCTAAATTTGGAACTTGGAAATTGATGTTTTTTTTCTTAGTTCATTGATGGTTATAGTGTTGTTTTGCTTTAGCTTCCACTTTCTAGACTTAGTGGTTCTAGTTGATTAAATGATTCGCCTTTTATGGTTATTATAGTTTGTTGATGATGATTGTGCTTTAAAGTGCTGATCTTTAAGGTTATTACGTTGTGAAGTTGAATTTAAAGATATGACTTCTTCTCATTTTCAATACTTTAAAAAATGGTAGTGATTAGCTTTGAAATATAGATGTTGGTCTTTTAATGAGTTTCTAATGTTTTGGTTTTGTTGGTTTGAGTTGTGTCTGACTTGTAACTACATGTCTGAGTTTCAGATTGATGAAAATGTTCAGAGGGAAATCATAAACCACAGGTCACTCAGGCATCCTAATATTGTCAGATTTAGAGAGGTAAAAACTTTCACTTTTAGGCAATTTATAAGCCCCATTGAGTTGTGGCTTTAAGACTTTTGACACACGGTTTCTTGTAACATAGGTCATATTAACACCGACTCATTTGGCTATTATAATGGAATATGCTTCTGGTGGTGAGCTTTATGAGCGGATTTGCAATGCTGGACGGTTTAGTGAAGATGAGGTTTTGCATCATCCCTCTTAATCTTGTTTCTCTAACTCATGTCTAAGGCGACTCTGTTTCTAATTTCTTAAAATATATTTATTCTTGTACAGGCTCGGTTCTTCTTTCAGCAGCTTATATCTGGAGTCAGCTACTGTCATGCCATGGTAATGTTCTTGGAAACTTTAGGTTTTTTTATTTTATGATTTACTCTGCTTTATTCATGTTTTTTTTTGGTTTCTTTTATGAAGCAAATTTGCCATCGAGACCTGAAGCTAGAGAATACATTGTTGGACGGAAGTCCTGCACCTCGTTTAAAAATATGTGATTTTGGATACTCAAAGGTATGATGAAATGTTGTTTTATTCTTATTCCACTCTCTGTTTATGTGTCTTTGCTTATGCATTTTACTTTCTTTTTGACAGTCTTCTGTTCTTCACTCACAACCAAAATCAACTGTTGGCACTCCTGCTTACATTGCACCAGAGGTGCTACTTCGTCAAGAATATGATGGCAAGGTAGTAGCTTCTTCTTCAAGGAAACTCCTTTTTTTTACTCAACATGAATGAATATTAATAGAGAGTGGTTACATTTACCAGATTGCAGATGTATGGTCTTGTGGTGTAACCTTATACGTCATGTTGGTTGGAGCTTATCCCTTCGAAGATCCAGATGAGCCTAGAGACTATCGAAAAACTATACAGAGAATCCTCAGCGTTAAATACGCAATCCCTGAAGACGTAAGGATCTCACCTGAATGTTGTCATCTCATTTCAAGAATCTTCGTTGCTGATCCCGCAACTGTAAGAATTCATAATTTTCTTTATGCTCTTTTATCTCTTTAACAACCATCAGAAAGAAAGTTGACATGTTTTGTTTGTTTGTTGTAACAGAGGATTAGCATACCGGAGATCAAGAACCATGCTTGGTTCTTGAAGAATCTTCCAGCTGATTTGATAGAGGAGAGCAACACAGGAAGCCAGTTTCAAGAGCCTGAACAACCGATGCAGAGCCTTGACACGATCATGCAGATCATCTCTGAAGCCACGATTCCCGCTGTGAGAAACCGTTGCCTAGATGATTTCATGACAGACAATCTTGATCTTGATGATGACATGGACGACTTTGATTCCGAGTCTGAAATCGATATTGACAGTAGCGGAGAGATAGTTTATGCTCTTTGATATAAGAAAAAGTGTGTTCTTTTTTTTTTGTTTCTTATGACCAACCAAAACACACACTACTTCTTATGTCCCTTCTTCAAGATAAGACCAGTGTGTCTGATCCTCTGGTTTCCGTTATTTTGCTTTTCTTACATACATATATATAATGTACAATATTATTATCTATATAAAATATATTTTCCAATCTTCTTAGCTACTTGCAAGACATCACACACACACAAACTGAAATTAGAACAGCTGAAGCAAGTTGAGATTAGCAATTGAAAATAATGAAATTGTAGTGTCAATGAAAACTTAAAATCAAATATGTAACGTAGACAGTTTATTAGTAAAAACATAAGCATATAAGAGTCCTTATATTTGCATCTGGAAGATTTGAATAAACAACATTACAAGACACACACAAGCTAGTGACAATGTTTTTTCTTTCACAACTTATAACGTTTGAAGCAAGTTCAGGTTATGCTATTTTCCACCACTTGAACTTTCAAGTTCCTCATGTTTGGCTTCAAACCTTCCCACAAGCATGCAGTTTCTTCATCACAATCTACATCCAGATTCTCTAGATTCCTCACTGAATCAGGCAGTTCACATATCTTACACTCTTGCATGGAGATCTTCTTCAGCTTCTGCAGTCTGCCAATCTCTAGAGGCAACTTTCTCAATCGTAAGCAAGAAGAAATATCCAGAAACTGCAAGTTGTTGAGTCTCGCAGTTGTTTCAGGTAGCTCAGAGAGATTAAAACAAGAACGAAACCTCAGCACTTCCAGCTTACTCAAATTGCCAATAGCTTCTGGAAGTATAGAGAGCTCATGACAGTCTGTGATACTAAGTTTCTCCAATGAAACGGCTTCAGAGATCCAGTTAGGTAACTCCACGAGATCATCGCAACAGTCTATGTCAATCTCTTGTAAACTCGATAGAGCTTTAGAGACGTCGATTTCATTTTTGTCATGAGAAACCTCACCGCAAAAACACTCGGAAAAAGACAGCTTCTTAAGACTGACGAGTTGCAATCGGAGAATGTCCAGAAAAGTGATTGAAAGGTTCTCTAGTCTGATCCGTTTC